TAGCTAGGAGTTGTGCAGTTGTACAAAGTAAGTAGTTTGGGGGGTTTGAAGTTTAGATAAATCTGGAAGCCAACAACTGCATGCCTAACGCCTACTGCCCCTGCCGTTGCACGCACTTCATTAATAATTGCTTCCTTTACAAGTGTGCTTGTTAAAAGATGACAAATTTCCGAGCTTTAGTTGTCTGTGGAATTATTGTGGCCATGGCAGCAGAGAATTGACATGAATATTTACTAATCCACATTAATGTAGAAAACTGATTTCTCAATCAAAGGAAGCAGTTACTTTTGTAATTAAAGGATATATACTAGGAAGGAGTTTGGTAATTGCAGGGACTGATTAGTTGTTAATTCTTTTCTGAATTTCTGATGGTGTGGAATTGATTTGCGTTTCTCCTACGGCATTCATTTGGATTTTCAAAAGGATGGGTTTTGTGGGTTTTAGTCTCTGCTTTTTCTTCCACAGTTTTCGCCAGGGAATGAGATACAAGGCCAATAAAACCTATGAGAAGAATATCAACCAACATTACATGGCACTTTCAGTTGACAATGAAAGATTGAATCATTCAAACTTGCTTGGATAATAATTGGTGGAGTAGCCTTCCTTAAAAGTCAAAACCACGGTTTTTTTGGGGTTATGTTTTGATGTAAGATTTTCTCACTTGACAAAACCTTTGATTTTAAAGAGACTTTTTGGGGCATTCATCTATGGCCTGTTTAATCTGTGATGTGCACCAAGAAAGCATCTGTGGAATGGCAGAAAACATTCGTGTGTACATGCACATGGGGAGGCAAAGATAGGACACACAATTTAAATCAAAATGCAACGGGAAAACTGAGGAGCTTATTTCAAGATTATGTACATCTTATAGCCAAGTAGAGACAAAGGGCTTCAAATATGTAATATCAATCTAAATTTGGGACGTTTATACGTGCAACAATCAAAAGAAGGGACAACCATCCCTTGCAAGAACCTATCAACAATGATGACTGACACCAATCTTGTGGCCCAATGATACTAATGACAATAAATAGACCATGTACCTGCAGAAAACTGAAACAAAAAGAAAATACAATGGAATGCAAAAGCTATTGGATAAGTTTTGGAGGCAAGTCAGGACAATTTGGCTTAGTTACCATATTCCTCTACGAAGCACTAACTTGCCCCAAGTGCGTCTGTTATGAGATCCAGCATCCCTGGATATGTTCTACTAGACACAATGGAAAAAATGAGCACCACTAGCCATCACAATAACATGGAAGTTGGCACGTTTGAGGGCTACTCTAACTAAAATCACAGTCCCTCAATAGATACTAGAGGATGTCAACGACAAGCAATGATGAATGCTGGTGAGTTATATAATCCATGCTAACAGTTATTTTCATTGCAACTTGTATGTGAATTCAACAGAAAAAATAAATAAATAAATAAAGTTAGAACTGCAATTTTGATTCTTATGCTTTCTTTTACATTCTAAACCTACTGTTTCTAGATATAAATAAACCAACTCAGAACCAAGAATTGAGATTGCATCTATTTTTGATGCATGGAGAAAACATCTTGGCTTAATTAGAGTATGAAAGAAATGACAGGAAAAGAGATACCTAAATTATCAAGAACAATGGCTGTCTCAGTGGGATGATGAAGATAACTTCCAGAAGGTTTTGGTTGCAACAAGGATTTTCTCTCTACCTTGTGATTCTGGTTCCTTTTCATATATGGTAGCTGTCCACCTGACTGCATGAGCTATGTGTCCTACTTTGTCAATTACTTCAGGAGAATCACGAATCACAACTGTTCCTTCTGGACGCAGCATGCGATCCATCTCTACCATTAAGTCCACAAGATTACACCTGCAGAAAAAGCAACAACATGATCTAGAGTACTTGATCTTAAAATCTGTCAACTCCTTTATCTGATGGGGTTTGATTGAAAATAAAGCTCCTGAAATCTAAAAATTTATGCTACATTTTGATGCTCCAGCCAAAAATACAATAGCGTTAGAAGTGAAAGCTAAACAGAAAAGGCTGAAAATTATTAGTTGATTAGTTCACATAGCAGAAGAGCAATATGCTAACAGTCATTAAACAAATACGCAAATGAAGTGTTTGCAAGTACTATAGACTTCTCACCTAAGACAAGGATTCAAGAAAAAGCAAGAACGCATAATTGAAGGATGAGGTTGAAATCATATCTACCTGCTCTTGCTCAAACCTGGATTTTTTGTTAGTGATTCGATCCCAACTACGTGGATGAGGTCATATGTGCGGGGATAGGTTGAGAAGGGTTCACACCTGAAATTTGAACAAAAATGAAGCTGATCAATAAAAGTCCCCAATAAAACACAACTCTATGCTAGGGTGGCAAACACCAAACACCAAGCCCACATCAGCACCAAAGGATGGGGGTTTGCAAGAGAAGTCCCTTGGAATAAGATTTGAAGATAGTGAATAAAGAAAATCCACTTTAGTTCTCTATAAAGTTGTTAAACACCAATTCTATAAGTTAGAAGAATCTATTTGTCTAGGTAACTTATCCACCACTTATCTAAACAGAGCATTAATCATAGGCTAGTTTAGTTTTGCAGAGGAAATACTCAATAGAAATTATCAGGACTTGCTTATATCAAAATGACTGTTAAAGTATTGTGCTATAAGAACCAAGTATGTCATATTTTTCCTAGCAAATTAGGAGATTTGGATACTTATGAATGTTCTCATTCATCAAAGTCAAACAGAACCAGAGCAAAGGCATAAAATACAAAAACTAAAAAAGAAAAGCAGCACAGTTTAAATATCTTTGTTCAAGCATCAACTCTCTTACTGGAAATTATCACAGAAACAGGAAACCGAGTTTCGCAATTGCAGGAAGTCATACTGTAGTCCAATGAAGAACCATGCATGCTTGTTCATCAATTGCTATTTCAAAAGATTATGAAAGTTGTAAAAGTGGTTTAATTGTACTTCTATAGAATACCATATTGCTCTTATTTGAATTTCTAATCTCTAATCTCTACTCCAGAGATAAGGAGAAATGTGGCGACAGCTCACCAGTCATGATAGACTCCAATAAGGCCTCTGTCATAAATAACTCCAAGGGTTGATGACTTCTGGGCAGGAACAACATTCATCACCCACACAGGATCTGATATGAGTGCTGCTGCAAAACCCCCGAACAATGCATTCATGTCCATGATGTTGCGTATAGCTGGAGTCCCAAGCTTCAAGTTCAAAGTATTCTTATAATAAGCCACTCTCCTTGCCCACCTTTTTGAGTCAGCTTCAAACAAATCTATTCCATTTTTCAGGACCAAGGTCCTTGAAGGAGCCTTTTTGAGCCTTTCTGGCCACTTTGGGATTTTTCCAACAGCACATTCTCCCTTCACAGAAGACATTCTAGTCACACATCTTTTTAATTCAAAGTACCTGTAAAAAGGCAAAAGAAACGGTAGAGAACAGAAAATTAGAAGAAGCCCAGGTGGAAAATGTTGGTGGAAATTTTCACTACAAAAAAGGATCATCCTATCAAAGTTCTCAGAAACAATAAAGCGTTCACAGGATGATTACCATGCATAGCTTGGGTCATCCGATCCATCACATAATTCAAGTCCAAATTCATTTTGGTTGGGCAGGCATGAATCTCCAACAGGTTTCTTCCAAATGGCAGTGTTTCCATCCACTGCAATCAACTCATAGCACAATATCCTTGCCACAGCCTGGAGGTCTGCCCACTCCTTATCTTGTTTAGCCCACTGTACAGGGGGCCCAGAGGTGACCAGGTACCCTCCAGGGCGAAGTAGCCGATCCACTTCAATGAAATAAGTTGCATCTGAAAAGGCCAGATCTCTTCATGATGATGAACAGCAATAGAGGTATCATAAAAGGAGAATACATTTAAGGACAGCAAACAAAAAACCTACTGTAGGCTGTAAAAGGGATTAAGCACCGAGAACAGTGAATTATGTCAAATGAAAATGCAGGAAATGGAAGTCTGAGAGTGCCAAGCATTAGAACAACAGCAGGTATCCCTCTTTCCAGGGCAAATTGTATCTGTGATTTGTGTGAATCTCTTGGAGCAAATGATAGGGTCAAAATGTCTTCAGACAACAAAGAACCCCCAAAACTTGCAACCTGCAAAACATTAACCTGTGGCATTCTCAAACAGTTCAACAATTGTTGTTAGCTTTAAAATATCAATCTGTCACCTACCCCACATCCCATGTCAAGGGCAGTCCTTAGAGTTCCACGACTAATGGGGATATACTGCCCAAGTTTCTCAATGTATGATACTGCTCCATCAGGGAACATTGTGCCACCACCAGGAAAGATAAAGTAGGGTCCCTGCTCTTTCATCCATCCCTGATGACCTTTCCTGTCTGCAATTTTGTTGTGTGGCATGTTGGAGTGCCATATCTGGACACGGAAAGTTAATCTTTTTGAGCTTGTTAACTCCATAGTCAGCCAAAATTGTATGCATAAGATCCAATTCAATCGTAAACATTTAACACAGGGATTACAAAATGCGTGAAACATGGGCATTTAAATGCAGAGGTATCAGCGAACAGAGTTTCAAAAGGGGCCTAGCATAATAGGCTTAATGATGTCGTTACTACATTTTATAGCATATTCAAACTATCATGACCACGACACATCTCAAATTCAAAACTTGAAATCTTGGACTCATTCGTGGATTAAGTAACAAGAAGGAAAAGAAAAACAGTACCTTGTGTAAGCTCTCAGGCCACTGCACAGGAATCTTGTAGCCTTGAGTAGGAGGGATCAAGCAGAGCGGCATCTCGTCAGGCGGCGGACAGTGCCTCTCTCTGTAATAATTCATCTCCCTACTAAGCTGGCTGTTTCTCCTGGGATCCTCACACGGCATGTGATCGACAGAATCTGCAGGGCAGGCCTCGATGGGTTGGTGATGGTGGCCGAGCTCCATCAGAGCCACCAACCGATGACGCTGCCTGGGATCCGACGTGGAGAGCAGCAACGCTTGCCTGCCGGAGGCAGCCATAGAATCTCCAAGAGGGGTGAACACCAACAGGAAGAAAAGCAGAACCAACCCAAAGAATGCAGCTGAAACTATGTCGAGCAGCTTCCATTGCCGCGGGTTTCGCTTTGATGCCGGCAGATTTACGTGACCCATGTTCTGAATCGGTGAAACAAACTCCTTTGATCCAAAAGTTGGGAAAAGGATTGCAGTGGAATTGCGTTCTGGATAATGGGTTTTGTGAAAGACGTCAAATTTGGCGAAAGCTTTGGTGGGTGTTTGAGGGGGAAGAGATAAGAGTAAGATCAGAAAGTGGGAGTACGAGAGGGAGAATTTGGATTGGCGGTGGCACGGTTAACAGGACAATTGCAACTCCAATCTAAACTTGTCATAAGAGATTATTTACACTTTATTTTTTTCAACAAGTGTAAAATTTTTACTATAAAAAAAAGTGTTGTATAATTTTAAATTATACCATATTATATAATTTTTATTATTACATAAGTATAAAAAAAACTATACTCTATTGATTTTTATTTTATAGTTTAAATTATAAAATATAAAATTTTATTTTATTTTTATTTTTATATTAATTACATAATAAGTGATAATTTTTGTTTATCTTTTACTTTATCCTACTAACATATTACGTAATTCAAAATTTAAATTTTTTATTTTTAATAAAAAATTATTATTAAATTATTTAAATTCATTGATTCCACTTAATTAAATCATTTAGCTAAATTCTTATTCTTAAAATTTTATTAAAATTATTTATAATGCTAAGTAGCTATTCAAAAAAATAATAATTAAACGAAGGGGGAAAGGATAAGTTAGTAAAGATGGATTCTTCAAATTTTGTTATACCGAAAGTTTTTCGGACTTTTTGAGTGTCACAAGGAGAGTATAAGAGGCGACTAATCGCCTTTGTAGAAAGAAAAGAATCCAATTATAGCGTTTTTTACACTCAGAAAGTAGACTAATAGCCTTTATGAAACAAAAGGACAGAGCGGCCTTACAGGCAGACAGCAGCAAAGCAAAGCAAAGCATCATTATTCCTGAAAAGCATATGAATTACGTAACCTGATTTGCTTAGAACCCTTGGTTTTGAGTTTAGGCTAGACTTTTACCTGCAAAAGTGGTATCCCCTTGACACATGTCGAACCTAAAGTAGGTAATTGAGGCAAAAGAAGATGATGAAAAAGTAAATGAAAAGAGATGATTTTAACTCATGAGATCAATTTGGGTATATGGTATATACAACAAAAAAAAAAAAAATGGATGTATCCTGAAATTCTCAACATGCAATGGTCATCCTTCCAGCCAGCCTGCTCTGGGCCCATATATGCAGTAAACCTTATCCAGGCATCCTCGGTCATGCTACATGGTGGCATTTTCAAGAATTCAAAGTTTCCTAGAAGCCTTAAGATTGTACTCATGCTTAAGAAGATTTTTTCTAAGAAGCGTGGACCTAACATCCTGATCAAATTCACTGCCAGTCTGCAGAACCCGCTGGAATGTTGCATTCCTCTGATCTGCATGTCGAGCATAAAGAATTTTGTTGTGGGAGTCAATTCGAGCCTGCAGAAACAACAAAACCCATTAGAGAGTAATCGATGTAAAAACAAACCTGATATAATACATCTTGACCTAAATCCTACAATTAAGAATATGTTTTAGAAAGGCTCACAAATGTGGCTGACTCTGTCACAAAATAGGCCATGCATGAATAACGATCAATTCTACTTCCCAACAACTGATTTCTAGACATTTTGCAAGTTCAGATTCTGATGTAGGGCTAGGAGCATTATAATTAATTTTAAGATTAATTAACAAGAGTTTTTGAAACTAAAATAATTCAGTACAAAGCGATACCTGTATCTGGTTGTCAGTAATCAAGGCTTCAAGCTCTTTCTCTAGCCCTGCAATGCTTGTTTTGAAAGCATCAGCCATCATTCGCAGATCAACAGACACAAATGGAAGTGTGTATTGGATGAGAGCTTTATTTCGTATTTGATCATAGAGCATCCCAACGTGGTCATGTAAATGGATGTCAAGCAGTAGGTTTTGTTTGAGATTTCCAAGATATTCGAGACAAGAAGCATAATGGCTGCAAGAAAAAAGGACAATGAAAAGCTAAATTACAAGAAATAGTTACTCTTACAGCTCTATACCGCTCATCAATCAAGACAATCACTCAAAGTTGAGAAGCAATCTTTTAATGCAAGAATAAAAATTTAAAGTAAACCATCCTTAGTATATTTCCTTTAGAAGTAGAACATATGTAAGCTTTCCATCAAAAGTTTCCTCTCATATTCCACATATTACACAAAGCCAAGTTGTCACCTTACAGCACCAAATACCAGGACAAACAGATTGACAAGAAAATCATCAATTAGGGTAAAAGATGAGTTAAAATACCTAGAGTAAAAATCATTAATAAGCTCCCTTACTTCAGGAACCAACTCCAAAAAGTTCCGGAAATTGATATTGTCTATAACTTTGTTCTGAAAATGTAAACCATTAAATGAATATGTCAAAGATCTAATAGGCCATTACAAGAAAACATAGGAGGAAGAAGGGGAAAATAGAGAGAGGAGAAGAGATGCCTTGAGTTCTGTCCTATCGAAGCTTGCAAGTGCACAAAGTCCTCCATAAGTTGCAACATCTTGAGGTGCAATGACGTCACTGTATGAATTTCCCAACTCTTGACCCACTTCCAAGAACTGCAGATCCATAACAAAGACAATGAATGATTTCAGGAAAAAAAAAAAAAAAAGAAGAGCAAAATGAACTGGGATAACAGAAGCCAACAAGAGTTCGAGACTATCCAGATAAAATCTGCGATAGTAAAACCTAAGAACAAGCAATTATAATAATGATGATTCTCCACAACAACAAAACAAACAGTGCTAATCAGAAGATAAGGACAAGCATACTTAGAGGGAATACTGCAATAACTAAAGTGAATTGACACCATCAAACAAGCTTACAAACCTTACGAGCTGCAAGCTTGTACTTTTTAGCTTCCAAGTAAGACAATCCTGCAGCACAACGTAGTTTTGGGAGAATTGAAGGTTCAAGGGACTCAGGTGTTTGCTCCGCCTTGTTGACATAACTTGTTACATGAGTGAACTGACCCATCTCAATGCTAACCAGAATTGCACTCGAACACATTTGAATAATATGCTTTGATGTAGTGCAGTAATCTCGAGTCCGGACATAACTTTTAAAGGCCTCCCCTAGGGCACCATGAGCATAGTAGAACTCTCCAAAATCATTGTATCCCATTCTTATACTTTCTTTGATCAAATTTGTCTGCAATGGGAAAAGGTTAAAAAAATAAAGGTTAGAAAAATACGAAAAGGAAATCAATCGATTATTTGATACTGATCTTTAAAACGAGAAAGTAATACACTCAAAATGTTACAAAGATCAACCTTTCAAATAAGATCCAGTTCCTGCTCTCTTTACTCTGACCAGAACATTTTATCAACCAAAAGGCTAGGCTTTAAGCTATTTCTCCATCTACATGCTTGAGCATTTGAATAATTCATCATTATAAGATAATTGCCAAGTTTTTGCCCATTCTCAACAGATCTTTTCCTTAACTTATTTCCAGCTTTATCCATCTTCTTATTCTAATTCTTCAGTTCTTTCAAGGAACGAAACTGGGATACTCTATTGGGGACAACCAGGACTGCACGAAATTGGAATTGGGCAGAAGCAAACCTAAACTCTCGAATTTTATAGTCACAACATACAAACATCATCAATACATGAACAAAATTAGTACAGAAGCAATGAGAAACCAAAGAGTTACCCTATAGGAATTGAGTTCGCTCTCCAGCTTCTCTTTCCTCTGCTCCGCCTTCCGATCAATGGCATCACACCACACGTTGTCCATGTCGTAGTTAGGACCCAATCTACCGTCGATCTTCTTCACAACTTCCCGGAACAGCAGCGTGTTCTCCCCCTTTTTGATCTCATCATACGCCATCCTAAGGGCCTCCATCTGCATCGCCGGATTGTCGCAGTGGTCAGCAATAAACATCAGCCGCATGATCTTAGTTCGCCCCGAGTACAGCCCAGCGTACGCCTCAATGTCTAGTTGCTCGCTACTTATAATTGGCCGGCTCTTACGAGTTGACGACGACAGGTCGTCGCCACCGTTGGCGTAAATTTCCTCCATCATTGGATTCGAGGAATCGTCTTCGCCTTCCATAGCAGGAAGAAAATCGTAATTGAGGGTTAGGGTTTCGTCTGCTTTCCCGGGTTTCTCCTTCGCAGTCTCACTGCGGTTCTGAAGCTCTGATGCGATGGTAGAATACGAACTGCCGGTAATTCTACTTAGTTTGGTAAACGATGTCGTTTCGCTGCCCTCCAAGTTCGGGCCCGTTGAGTCGTCGAGCCCAGCTATTTTTGGGCTATAACTACAAAGCATGAGTAAACCCAATCTACTCAGAAAACGGAAACCAGACTCTGGGCCCAACAAAAGGTAGGAACCGCAACTGCACTCGGCCCAAAAATAAGTAATTAAATAAACTGGAATTTTTTTTTGTTTTTTGGATGTTCAATCCTTTAAAGTTTAAACAAACGGAATTTTTATTTTTATTTTTTTTCATGTTCTCATTTGGGATTTTGATGTTAATTTATTTGGATTGTATAAAATTGCAAAACAAGTACTACTAGTATCAAATAAAAGAATCCACTCAAATACTAATAATTTTGTTCTTAAATAGTTTATTTTATACAATTCAAATTATAAACACTTTTTTTATCAAGAAAATAGAAAATAAAACTACGGAGTATGTTCCATTGATGTGTAAATATTTGTCACAAAAAACGTAGAAAGAATGGTGAAGCCAAAAAAATAAAAATAAAAAAATAATAATAATAACAAGAAAACATAAAAACTGTTTTTGATTCCTTATTGGTTTGATGCTGGTGCTGTCCAATAAAGTTTAACAGCAAAAAGAATCTTTTCCCTCTCGAGTGGCCCATTTTCATGGTCTGCAATTCTTGCATCCCATTGCATTACATCTACAATGCTCTTGATCTTCACCAACACATCCACATCATCTCTGATAATCACACTACCTTCGGGCCGTAGAATCCTGTCCATTTCCAGAAGAATGTCTTCCATCTCACATCTACAATAAAAATTTGTACTCCATCATTACTCCTCAAACATGTACTGGTGAAACCAATAATTTCAATGTCTGCATGGTCTTCAAAAAAATAACAAATAGCATAATGTTACCTGTCATTGTAGAGGCTAAAAATCGAATCAGTGTGAATAAAATCGTATGTCCTTGGATAAGTAGACATGGCTTCACACCTACGAGGAGATAGATGATTAAATATCAGTGACAATATATACAATTTGTAATGAATGTCTACAGATTCATTCATGAGAAAGTTGGTGGTGGTGGCCTACCAGTTCTGATATGTTCCAATCAATCCACGTTCATAGATGGCACCAAGGGTGTTGACCTCGGCCTCAACAGGAACGACATTCATGACCCACAGAGGATCATCAATAAGTGCTGCTGCAAACCCTCCCAAATAAGAGTTCATATCCAGCAAGTTCCTGTACCTCCCTCTCTCAGCCAGCGCATGGTCCATTGTCTTGTAATAAGCTACTCTCTTCCTCCACAGCTCTGTGTTTTCTGTAAACTTTTCTGCTGTTATTCCTGCCAGACTTCCACTCCTGATCCTCGGAGGGATCGCGTTCAATCTCTCTGGCCATCTTGCTAATTCCCCACCTGCAACTCCCTTTATTTCAGCATCAGACACTTCAGGTAGTCGGGTTAGACAAGTCTCCATCTTCGTGTACCTAGACCAATTGAGTAAAAATTTTAGTCAAAAAGAAATAGGCCCACTGCATTTACCAGTTAGCTGGATTTGGTATCTCTGAAAGAGACTAAACTAAAGCATCTCTTCATCAAAGAAAGCAACTTAGCGTACTCAGTAGAAAAGCAACTCTAGCCTGCAATTAGAACCTAGTGTAGTGCTAGTGCAGTGAGGTCCCTGTCCTTCAACCTGTCTAGTGTTGACAAGCAATTTTGACAATGGCAATTAATTGCAAAATTTTATGGTAGTGAGATTACCATGCCATGTCTGGATCCTGCATGGGGCAAAAGCTTGGCTTCTTCAACAACTTTTTAGCCTGTTTACAGTGGATATGATTGGTTGGTTTCCTCCAGATAGCAAGGTCATCTTTCTCCTTAATTTTTTTCCAACATAAGCTTCTAGCTACCTCCTCAATCTTATTTTGTTCTGCTTTCAGGTCCTCTCGTGTCCTTTCCCAACCTTTCCAGTGCTTCTCCCAGTTTATTGGTGGTCCGGACAGAATCCAGTAACCCCCAGGACGAAGAATTCTATCAATTTCGATCAAGTACAGTCCATCTGATTCATCACAAACCAAAATCAGTTAGCAATTCAACCACAAATCCTGAACAAAGGATGAAATCAGACTATAATCAGTACCAAATTGGCCCCATGGAATGAGGCAGCGAGAGCAATGAGCCATGTCAAAGGCCCTGGAAGGATAAGGAAGCCTGATTGATGCTAGAATACCAATCAATGCAGGCACTCCTCGTTCAAGGGCGAATTGGACCTGAGCTTCATGAGTGTCTCTAGGAGCAAATGACACCGCTAGGATATTCCTGGACAGAAGATAAGCACCCCAGCTTGCAACCTGCAGACAATTACAAAATTTCATTCAGGAAAAGGAAAAAAAAAAAAAAAATCTTTTTGACTTTGTAGTTTGTACTCCTCTTCCTTGCTAACTTCCAAAATACAATAATTTGACTTGTGAAAACGAAGTAAAGAAAAAATTAACCAAGTTGATTGAACCAATTTATGATGGTTTTACAGATAATAATTAAGAAATGTGATATGATCAAATCAAAAAGCCTTTTCCCCAGTCAGAAGATTGGAACTAACTAAATTATTGTTCCTGGTGGACCACTTTACTTCAACGCAAAGTTTTGAACCTTAATTCCACCAAAACCCATTAAATTTCTCTCTTTTACAATTTACTAATCTCCTTAAAAAAAAAAAAGAAAAAAGGCTACTATTTTATGGGTTTTACCCAGAAACAGAATAGAATCTGCCCATTAATTTATTTTTATAATTAATTACACTAATTACTTATGGGAATATATTCTGTCCATTATGTAAGATTTTCATTGACAATTATTAAAAATCATATCTACCCAGATTTAGCCTTCTCTGAGTAATATCTACCCTAGATGGAAAACAATTAATTGGAATATATGACTAGGTCACAATCACAATAATAATTATTATGATTAACCTGAAACTTACCAAATACATAAATAAATAGCCATAGAGTTGCGAACTGCAAAAAGAAATAACTGTTACACAATTTTTTAACTGCAGTGTTTATTATTTAACCCTGAATTATACTATGCGGTTTTTAATAGCTCGAGGTTATTATATTGCGAAGATCAAACATGAAAATACATTTATTTTTGGAAATTACCATTAAAATATAGTATAATAAAAGGAAACAATTTTAGGAGCATTCAACCAAATTTGTCAATTTCTACTACACCTCAATATACTATTTTTATTTGAAAAGGAAAACAAAAACGTAAACACTAAGTATTGTTAAAAAAATAAAAAATAAAAACGCATTACAAATCAAATGCATGATTTTGGGAATATA